GGGAAGTAGTCAGGGAAGCAGGTGTAATCCCCTTGTTAACCAGAGCTCCAGGTAATTGGAGATATTTCATAGATTATATATTCCCACTAGGCAAGAACTCTGAAAACCTTTTTGAGACTGCTTTTCATCTGGGCCACACGTGTGTCTCTGGTGCAGTAAGGTACAACCTGGTCTTTTAGTTGCCCAGGGCTGCCGTAACTGAATACCACACCCTGGGGAGCTCACGTGTATTTTCTCATGATTCTGTAGGCTGGAACTCCAAGATCAAGGTGCTGGCAGGGTCAGTGTCTCCTGATGCGTCCTTCCTTGGCTGCCAGATGGCTGCTGTATTGCTGTTTATATAGATAGTCATCCCTGTAGATGTAGCCCCGGGTGTGTCCTCTTATTATTACATGGACAGCAGTCATAGTAGATTATGTCCTCATCCTAAGTCCCCTGCTTCCACACAGCCCACACTCCAGTGGGGAGAAACAAAGGGATGTGGTGGATTTCGGACAACGGCAAGTTCCCTGAAAGTGGGTGATGGGACCCCAAGCAGAGCGGGTGCTGCTTCTGTTGGGGCAGAAAGAACTGGGCTCTGCGAGGAGGCAAGCTTCGGGCTGAGGCCCGAGGAGGAGGCTGTCTGAAGCGCTCTAAGGGAAGACCATTCTGGCCGGAGGGAACAGCCAGTGCAGAGGGCCTGAAGAGGGGAGCCCAGCTGTGCATCTGAGGGGCAGAAAGGAGCTGGTGGGATTGGAGCACGTGAGCCTGGGAGAGGCTGGAAGGTGAGGTGGGGGAGATAGGCCTGGACCCCCAGTGCCTGGAAGGGCCACAGAACAAGTTTGCGTTCTAGCACAAGCAAGGCGGATGCTACAGCCTTTGAAGGGTTTTCTTGACTCTAGTTATGACTGGTGTACAGCCAGTTACTAGTGGAGTCTTTGTTGCCACACGACTGGCGAGTGACTTAATTCTGCAATCCCATTCTGCGGATCTGCTTCTTAAGACCACTGCTAGTATCAGTTGAGGTTGGGTTTCCCCGCAAAGAGTCTATGAGACAAGGATTCAAGGACAAATGGTTTATTTTAGAAAATCACTCTAGGAAATGCTTAGAGAAATGTGAAAAGCCAAAGAGAGAGAGAGAGAGAGAGAGAGAGAGAACTAACAAATGATGGATTATCAAACATTACCACTCTGAGTGATACAGTTTAATCCTCTGTACAGTTCTGAGAATTAGCACAGATTACATGAATCAGAGTTACCCTTCTATGGGGAAAATGTGCTGGAGTATTTATAGTTAACAATTGCTCACGAGGAACGTTAATACCCTGATGTTCCCAGGCCAACATGTACGCAGGCAGAGGGCTTGTAGAAATCTCAGCCAGTTAAATTTGGGTTGGCACGCATGGAAATACGGATGGGACACCAACAGCATCTGCCTTAGCTAGAAACTAAACAATGCTATTATTAAATATGCTTTAAAAGGATTTCTGATTAAACAGAAGAAATGGCTTTGAATGAATTTTTTTGGTGTTCAACATTTAGCTAGCAAGTAATGATTCTTTTTAAAAATTATTTTCATGTTTATTTAGAGACAGAGCATGAGCAGGGGAGGGGCAGAGAGAGAGGGAGACACAGAATCTGAAGCAGGCTCCAAGCTGTCAACACAGAGCCCGATGCAGGTCTCAAACCCATGAACCGCGAGATCATGACCTGAGCCTAAGTCGGATGCTTAACCGACTGAGCTACCCAGGCGGCCCTGAATTTTTCTTAATAAAATCACTTAGGTGGGATTGACATTGGGATTCTTCATGCCTGACAAGTCTTAAAGATCATTGCTTTTCTTAATAATATTATGGCTCTTAAACATGTATTGCTGTAAAGAACATTGTTAACTACTTAAAAAACATAATTGTAAGATATTTCCCTGTGGCTTCTGTGAGCCTGGTCAGCAGACTTTATTGGTTCATTGACAGTTCTTGGTAAATCCTTACTTGTGTATCCTCACTTGATGTACCTCGAATTGTGTAAGCTAAATGCCTATTGGCAAATGGAATATGTTGCTTGTGGAAAGAACTGGGAGTGTGTTTGATCTGGAAATAATGTATCTCAATATGTCAAGTTAAAAATGATGAAAATACTCAGTTACATATTCACAAATAGGGAAGAAGAAGGACATTGGGAAATGCTTAACCCGTGCAAACTGTGAGGCAAATAATGCAGGAAGATATTTGAAAGATGAAACCATCATGATTTCCCACTCTACTTCCAGGGAAAATTATTACTGGTCTCAGCTGCTGTATATTGGCTTGTTTAGTGTAGATTAGTTAGTTAAATTTACTTTCCTTCTTTGTGGCCCTCATTTGCCATAGAGATATTTTTGTCAACTCTGAATTTTTTTTACTAACTATATACTTTTGCTTAATTTTATTATTTCAGAAAAATCATGAGTACATTTTCATGATTGAAAAGTCACTGAATGTTTTTAAGTGAGCTTATTATTCCCACCATAGAT